ATAATATGGTTTTTGTTCTTGGTTCTGTTAATGTGATGTATCATGTTTATTGATTTGCATAAGATGAACCATCCTTGGATCCCTGGGATGAATCCCACTTGATCATGGTGAATGATCTTTTCAATGTGTTATTGAATTTGGTTTGCTGGTATTTGGTTGAAGATTTTGCATTTGTGGTCATCAGGAATATGTAGTTTTTTTAATTAATTAATTAATTTATTTTTTTTATCATGTCCTTGTTTGGTTTTGGTATCAGGCTAATGCTGGCCTCATAGAATAAGTATGGAAGTATTCTCTCCTCTTCAATTGTTTTTGAAGAAATTGAGTAGAATTTGTATTAGTTCTTCTTTAAATGTTTGGTAGAATTTAGCAGTGAAGCCATTAGGTCCTGGGCTTTTCTTTGATGTGAGACTTTTTATTACAGCTTCAATCTCATTACTCATTATTGGTTTGTTGAGGTTTTCTGTTTCTTCATTGTTCAATCTTGGTAGGTTGTATCTGTCCAGAAATTTATCAATTTCTTCTATGTTTTCCAGTTTATTGATGTGTAGGTGTTCATAATAGTCTCTAGTGATTCTTTGTATTTTTGATGTCTCAGTTGTTATGTCTCCTTTTTCATTTCTGATTTTGAGTCAGAAAAAGTCTCAATTTCATTTATTTCTGCTTAGATTTATATTATTTCCTTTCTTCTAATAATTTGGGGTTTGGTTTGTTCTTGCTTTTCTGTATTTCCTTGAGGAGTACAGTTAACTTATTTTTTGAAGTCTCTCAACTTTTTTGATGTAAGTGTTTATTGCTATAAACTTCTCTCTTAAAAGAAGTGACTGCTTTTACTATAATCCGTAGATTTTGATCTATGGTATTTCCATTTATATTGGTTTCAAGAAAGTTTAAAATTTTTTCTTAATTTCTTAATTGATCCATTGGTTGTTCAGGAGCATGCTGTTTAATTTCCTTGTATCTGTGTAGTTTCTGAAGTTCCTCCTACTGATTCCTGATTTTATTCTGTTGTGGTCCGAAAAGATACTTGGCATAATTTCTGTTTTTTGAATTTGTTGAGAGTTGTTTTGTGGCCTAAGATACGGTCTTATTATGGAGGATGTTCCATGTGCTGATAAAAAGAATGTGTATTCTGCAACAGCTGGGTAAAATGTTCTTTAAATGTTAGACCTATTTGGCCTGGTTTCTGGTTTAACTTTGATGTGTCTTTGTTGATTTTCTTCCTAATTTGTCCACTACTGAGAGTGGCGTGTTGAAGTCCCCTATCATTGTATTGCAGTTATCTCTCCCTTTATTGTTTGTGTTATATACTTGGGTGCTTGATGTTGAGTGCATAGATATTTATAATTGTTATATCCTCTTGCTGAATTGAACTCTTTATCATTATATAATGACCTTCTTTATTTCTCTTTATAGTCTTTGACTTGTAATCAGTTTTATCTAATATAAGTATAGCTATTCCTGCTGTGTTTTTGGTTTCCACTTGCTTGGAATGTCTTTTTCTATCTCCTTCAGTCTATGTATGTCTTTACAGGTGAAGTAGGTGTCTTCTACGCAGCATATAGTTGGATCTTATTTCTTTATTCATCAGCCACTCTATGTCTTTTAATTGGAGAACTGAGTCCATTTGTATTCAGTTATTGATAAGTAAGGACTTACTATGGCAATTTTTTCTTTCCTTGTTTGCTGGGTTGTTTTGTAACTCCTGTCTTCCTTTTTTACTGTTTTCCCTTGTGGCAAAACGATTTTCTCTGATAGTTTTAATTTGTTGCCTTTTCTTTTTAGAAATCCTCCAACATTTTGACTTTTTCTTGTCTTAGTTTCCATGTTTTATATTACCTATCACTTAGCAGGCTGCTGTAGCTATTATTGTTTTAGGTAGAGTTCTCTTTTTGGCTTCATACTAGAGTTATAAGTTGATTACATACCACAATTACAGTATTAGAGTATTCTGGGTTTGTTGATGTAATTTTACCAGTAGGGTTTCTACTGTCAACTGTTTTCTTTTTGTGTTAGTGTTTTTTTTCTTTCAGACTGAAGAACTCCCTTTAACATTTCTTGTAAGATGGGTCTGGTGTTGGTGAATTCTCTCAGCATTTGTTTTTCTGAGAAAAACTTTCTCTGTCCTTCATATTTGAAATATGGCTTTGATGGATACAGTATTCTTGGATGGCAGGTTTTTTTTCTTTTTTCTTTCAGCACTTTGAAAATCTCATCCTGCTCTCTCCTGGCCTGTACAGTTTCTGCTGAGAAGTCTGTTGCCAGATGAATTGGAGCTTCATTATATGTTATTTGCCTCTTTTCTCCTATTGCTTTTAGGATCCTCTTTGTCCTTGACGTTTGAGAGTTTAGGTCAAATTTGTTTGGGGTTCTCTGACTTTCCTATACCTGGATATGTCTTTCTCAAGTTTTGGGAAGTTTCCTATTTTTATTTCTTTGGATAAGCTTTCTACCCTTTGGTCTCATTCAACTCCCTCTTCAACACCAATAATTTTTAGATATGGTATTCTGAGGTAATTTTCTATATCTTGTAGGCTGTCTTCATTCCTTTTCATTCCTTTTTCTTTTCTCTTCTGATATCGTATTTTCAAGTGGCTTGTCTTTGGGCTCACTGATTTTCCACTGCTTGATCCATTTGGCTGTGGAAATCATCTCATGATTTTTCAGTTCAGCAAATGCATTTCTCAGTTCCAAGATTTGTTTGACTTTTTAAATCTTCGTTAAATTTATCTGAAAAATTGCAGAACTGCTTTTCTTTGTTATCTTGAAGATCACTGGGTTTTCTTAAAACTGCTATTTTGAATGTTGGTTAGAGTTTACATTTTGCCTTCTCATTAGGATTAGTCACTGGTTCCCTGCTTTGTCTATCTGGGAAGGTCATGGTTCCCTGTTTGCGGTTTTTGTTTTTTTGAGATAGAGTCTTGCTGAACTGCCTAGGCTGGAGTGCAGTGGTGCGATCTCAGTTCACTGCAACCTCCACCTTCCAGGTTCAAGCCATTCTCCTGCCTCAGCCTTCCAAGTAGCTGGGACTACAGACGCACACCACCAGGCCTGGCTAATTTTTGTATTTTTATTAAAATGTGGTTTCACCATGTTGGCCAGGCTGGTGTCGAATTCCTGAACTCAGGTGATCCACCCACCTTGGCCTCCCAAAGTGCTGGGATTACAGGTGTGAGCCACCACGCCTGGCCAACTCGCTGTTGTTTCTTGTCTATGCCTTTGTACCGAAGGATTATTTATTTATTTCAGTCTTCTCTGTCTGGCTGGTTTGGTTTTCAGTGGGTATGTTTGATTTGAGATTGTCTGTAATTTACCTGTTTAATTTCTTTTTTGTTCTCCTGCTATGTGGCTGCCTCCTTTTTGGCACTAGATGGTGCTTTAAGCCCCGGTTCATCTTGGCTCTAGTAAACCTTTCTCTTGCTGTCTCAATCTCTCTCTTTCTCTCTAATCTTTTATGTTTTCTACTAAATTATGAGCACCAGGGGCCATGTTATTAGGTATTTTTTTATGCTTGGCAAATATGTCTTGATAATTACATGTGGGTGTACTGTACAATAAGTATGATTTAAGTCACCAAGGTAAGGTTTCTTAAGCTGGAGCCCATAAAATCCTTGACACTTTGTGTAAAGTTGTATGTTATATGCATACATGCATTTTCTGGGGTGTAGGTCTGTGACTTTCATTATTACCTATTTCATGTTCATACTGTGGTTAAGAACTATGGTAACAAGACAATATCAGACATATTAGAAATACTGATCCAGCTCAGCTAGATTTATAAAATTTATAGAATTATCTAGAAGTGATATGGATAATGTAAGATTAAAAGTTCTGTTCTTATTGAGAATCATCTTTCTCAATGTTATTGCAGCTTAAAGGTCAGACCTAAGACCAATAGATGTCTCTCCTTCCTTTCATCCACAGCTCTTCTATACAGTATTCTTTCGTTCATATAAAATTGAATATGAACTTTGAATATCAATTTTTAAATGTTAAAGCCCCTTTTAAAGAATGGTGACCTTAAATATTAGTGTCAATCCTACAATAAAGTTCATCTATTCATACATTTACCAAATATTTACTGTGTTACCTATGTACTAAGCACTGTCATATACTGAGAACACAGCAATGAGCAAGATGTGGTGCTTCCACTCTGTTAGGGGGGAACAGGCAATAACATGTAAACAGTAAATTATATACTTTCAGAGAGTCTTAAGTGCTGTGAAGGAAGTAGCAGTTTAATGGATAGGGTGGTTAGGGAGGTGACATTTAAGCAGAGAGCTAAATGATGAGATCAGGTTATGTGAAGCTCTGAAGCACAAGTAAGCTTTGCTTGTCTGAGGAACACTACAGAAGGCCAGTGGGGCCAGAACATGGTGAACAAAAAGCAAAGTGGGAAGAGGTGAAACCACAGCAATGCTTTTATATCAAGTAGAGACTGGCTGAGAATTTGGTTCTTATTGATTGCATGGATTCCTACATTGATTTCATAACTTCAAATCCTAAATAGGATGACTATCTTACTATTTTATAGTTAAAAATGAGGCCAGGCGCAATGGCTCACACCTGTAATCCTAGCACTTTGGGAGGCTGAGGTGGGTGGATTCCTTGAGGCCAGAGTTCGAGATCAGCCTGGGCAGCATGGTAAAAAAAAAAAAACCCGTCTCTACTAAAAATACAAAAATTAGCTGGGCATGGCAGTACATGCCTTTAAATCCCAGCTACCTGGGAGGCTGAGGCATGAGAATCGCTTGAACCCAGAAGGCAGAGGTTGCAGTGACCTGAGATCCTATTACTACACTCCAGTCTGGGTGACAGAGTAAGACTTTGTCTCAGGGTAAAAAAAAAAAAAACAGCTAAAAAAACAAAAAAACAGAGGGAGAATTAGAAAAATGGGGAGGAAGACTGATGTAGCAAGAAAAGAATGTTTTAGAGTCAACCTAATTTGGAGTTCAGGGAGCAACCATTTGTTATTTGTATACCTTGGGCAATTCACCTACCTGCCTGTTGCTTATTTCTTTGCCTGAAAATGGAAATAAGGTCATCTCCCCACACCCAAGTTATGACTGCTATCAGATGAGATAGTTTGTGCGAAAGCCCCAAATGAATCTCTCAGTCTGCATACAGTGGCTGAGAAACAGAAAGAAAACGTAGGCAGGCAAAAAGGATGTTTAATAATAATATATCTGCAATGACACTAAACTGAAAAAAAAAAGTTAGTTATTATTTTGGGCCAGCAGTACACTGAGTGAGTTATTATAGTACCCTGTTTAGTGTCCACAGCAATCCATAAGATAGGTTCTGTTGCTATCCTCATTTTATGAAAGAGGAACAGGGAGGCTTTGAAAGGTTATTTGTTCAAGGTCACATAGATATTGAGTCCTAAACTTCAAACGCTAAAGCTCAATCATTTATTCAAAGGGAAATCCTCTGAATACCCTCACTTATTGCTTATTTGTTTTAATTTAGACAAAACTATAATCAGCTTGCTTATCTGTTTTCCTACTCCACTGATTTCCAGTATCTGTAACTTAAACAAGGACAAACAGGTTTGGTGGAGATAGGCACCCTCATGGCAATAAGATAGGAACACTACTACAAGGAACAGAAATAAACACCCATGCACAAACACACCAATAAAAAGAAAACAGCACCAGCCAACATGGTGAAACCCCGTTTCCACTAAAAATACAAAAATTAGCCGGGTGTGGTGGTGTGTGCCTGTAATCCTAGCTACTTGGGGGCTGAGGCACGAGAATCGCTTGAGCCCGGGAGGCAGAGGTTACAGTATCACTCCAGCCTGGGCAACAGAGCGATGCTGAGAAAAGGGGCACTCTTCTACACCCACACAACAGTCGTCATTCCTCAAAAAAACTGGAGGCATCACTGAATACACCCGGCACACTAACTGATGCTCATAAAGAATGACACCAAATCGCCACTCTTAAAGGGAAGTGCATAATGAAATTAAGAACATTCTGTCCAAATGCTTAAAACTAGGAAACAAATATAAAACTTACTTATACAGAATACCTTATTTCTCAAAGACAACTGGATTAAATAAAACATAACTGTATTTTAAGTACTAATATAGCATATAGTATGATTCCATATATATAAAGTTCCAAACCAGGAAAAACTATAGCATTGAAGGCTGCATACTTAGGAGGAGAGTAAAAAGAAAAGGAAATGTTCATTGTAAACGTCAGAGTAGTTTAGGAGAGACTTGGGAAGGAGCCTGTGTGACAGCAATGTTCAACTTTTTGACCTCAGTGGTGGTGACAAAGGGTGTTCACTTTACAGTCATTTGTTAAGCTGTATTTGTATGATTTCAGCACTTTTCTATATTTGTCATATATTTCACAATAAATAATGTTGAAAGAGAAACAACTTAAAAAAGAAAACTATATATGACTAACAAAGAATACAGTACTTTCGCTTAGGTGTGTTTCATATAGGTCACATCATTTTATTCTCTTGCCAGTTTCTGTGAGGCAAAAAAGGGCAGGTCTTCTCCTCCTCCCCTTCTCATTTTAAAGATGGGGACCCTGGAGTCCTAGGGGGTTCACCACCTTGCCGGTGAGCCGGGACTCCCACCCCTGCCTGGTGTTTCCAAGTACCCTGCTCTCCTAGCCCCCAGCTCATCTTTGCAGACACATTGTAGGAGCAGAATATATTGCTGAGCAATTGTGAAGTCAGAGAGTGAATTTTCCTCAAGATCAAAACCTCACCTGTCACTGTGCTCCACCGCAATCTCATGCTTGCCCTGAGAATCGATCTTCACCTCCCTGACCATGTTAAACCAGGCCCTGAAAATCTTCTTCTGAAGAAAATGTACACAAAATTTTCTTACTTCTTCCTGCAGATCAGTCATGTACTGAGGATGAAGACAGAAATAAAAGTGAGAGAAAAAATATCAGTTGACAAAGAATTAGAGCAAATAAACAGCACAAAAGACAGAATTGAAACAGAAATGAAACAAAAGAAACAAATGACACTAGAGACACAAAGAAAAGGATAACCTGGCAGCCAAGATAATATCCTCTATAATGTACCCTAAAAATGGTAACAGAACACATGAGTAGAAACAGTTATAAGATTGAAGGGGTGAGTTTCTAAATCACTTGAGCACTGTGAGACAAGAAACAAGAAATGAGTATAAAAACAAAAGCTGATGGAATGATAACTTAACAGTTTATACACACTCCATGAAACAAACACATGCTTAGTATTTTACACTAATAAAAAATTGACTTGCCATTTTCACATTTATTTCAAAGCAGTGAATGGGATTGACTATTCTTTTGTTCTTGAAAAAACATAATGACCCTGGACATTCTGGATTCCATTTAGTTTTCTTAAATAGGACTGAGCAATGAGATGTATTTAAGGTGCCCTTCCCTATATCCTTACCTGTAGCCAGCTCCGGATGACTCTCTTAAGTAGTATTTGGGAATAAAATTGATCAGCCTGGGCCATCTTTCTAGCCAGACTTTCCTGACTACACTGGAACCAGGTCAGCAGATATTTCCTCTGCAGGAACAAACAGTAATGTTCTTCTGCCACCTGGATAATTTTTTAAATGAGAAATATGATTCCTTACACTTAAAATCATTTAAACAAACACATCACCTTTGGAAATGATGCTATAAAACACATTTAGGCAGTTGGTAGAGAATAATCTGAAGGTACATGCAGCCTGTGTCCTAAAAGCTTTGACTGTTGACCTGTTCTATGGAGGTTATGATTCACATCACGATTGGCCTTTCAATGCCAGCTCCCTGAAGACCACAGTGATTTCCTGGTTATGGAAACGGAACAAACAACCTCTAAGCCATTACTTCACTTCCCCTGAGTTTTGGAGTGGGTAGCTGGCAACATTCTCAGTTTGCTCTCCTGGAGCTTGGACAGCAACTCCACAACAAACCTCTCTTTCTCATGACTTAACCACTGTCTAATTGAGGAAATGCCAATACTTTCAATTAGTGTTGTGGAATGAGCTGTCACCAGCATTGACATTTAGACATTATCAATAAACCACAAAACCATCTGATAGAAAATAACATGAATAATTTAATGTCTTTTCAACTATCATTCTATCAAAATAAACATACAAATCAGAATTTATAGATTTTTAAAAGTAACTGTTATATTCTTTTAAGAGGCAGGAGGGGAAAAGTCTTCTCCCTTAGTCCTCTCCAAACAATGACACATTTTTCTAAGCCTTGTCTAGATATCTGGCACTGTGAATGTGATTGATTCATGTGAGTCTCTTGGAAGTCATATTTAGTGGCCAAAATGACCACCATGGAGGTCTCTGTGGCACCAGAGATTTCTGTCTGTCCTGGACTCATCTCAGCAGCCTGAGAGCCAAAAGATGAAATCACATTTTATCTATTTTGAATTTTTAATCATTTAGTTGAATGCACTGGATAAATTTGTTAGGGAAATTTTAGAAATTTCAGTGGTGTTTGATTTCATATATCTCTCTGCAGTAGAGTGAGTAACTGTTCTCTCTAATAGAATTATACACCTATACTCTTTGCAATGTGATTTCACAGTTCCTCCCTGTAGAGTGGATGGAGCTCCTTCTCTCCTCAATGACTTTGAGCTTGGCCCTATGATTTGCTTTGGCCAGTGGAATGTGGACATAATATAAGCAGTGGGTTTACATAATTTGGTTTGGCCTTTTGTAGCTCTGAATAGCTGCTGTAACCAGAATGAGAGGCTTGGGGAGAGACCTGAACTCAATCCACAACTGGCCCACAGACATATGAGTGAGAAATAAATACTTGAGCTCTATGCCACTGATATTTGGGGGTTGTTTGTTACTCAACTTTATCACAGGCAGAAACCTGACCAATGTACCTTATGGTAATAACTCTTCTCTTACTCAAACTGAGAGAAGCTTCTATTCATCTTACCTTGGGGGGATCTCTAATAAAACATTTCCTCTCATTTTTTCCAACCTATTCAATTACAAAGTCCTTCTCTACCTTAGAAGACCAAATCAAAAATTGTATCCAGAACAAATATACACATTCAATTAATTTATCTTTCTGGCTTCAAATCACCAAACCCTCCCCTCCCCCAAGCTTAACTGGGCATCCATCTAATTGGAAAAGTTCATTTTCTAATCTGGGGGGTAATACTGCACCTGGACGTTTTGTTTGCTTTGCATTCTCAATGTCTTCCAAGGCTCTAGACCTTTTTTCCTTAGCAAGACACCTTGATAATGTTCTTTGGCTATTGCTTCCAGCTGCTGGTTCCTCTTAATTCTCTTCTGCTTCTCAAGTTCTTTCTGGAAAAGATTAAAAAGCAAAATGCTATGATAAAAAACGAATGAATTTCATTTCAATGAAAAGCTAATGAATTTAATTTGAACATGTAACCATTGGATGGTGTGTTAATCATGATAACAGAGCTCTGGATAATAGGGCTTTTTCTTTAAAAAAAAAAAAAAAAAGAAGGAAATAATTCTGCTAAGAGGGTCAGGAGAAGCTGGTCATGAGTCTACAAGAATCAGGGCTATGCATATTCTTGGGTTTATTCAGTATTGTTCACAGAAATAATTTACCTCTCACCAAGTTACTAAAAGATAAAACATCTAGTTAGGAGAGCAATCAGGATTTTTTCCCTCATATGAAAAACCCAGCCATACAGCCACTTCATTTAAACTATGGGACAGAAATTTAATGATACTCCATTAAAAGTCCAGAAGAATATTCTTACTACTAAGCTATTTTTGTTTTTAGGTGAAGAACAGTAAGTCCAGAGGCAAGTTAAAGATAGTTGATCATCATTAAGCTACCTTCTCTCTCCTAAGAAGGAAAAAGATGAACTATTCCTGGTAATACACTGAGAAAAGACACTCCATGACCCTCAAAGAACTGTACCCCTCAGGGGTGTGACCAAGAAAGATGACAAAAACTTAATGATCGACCCTATAGGTATCATTATTTCCTTTATTTCCTTTTTCTCTTGTAATAAAAATAGCTTATAGTAAAGGTGAGAGAAAAAGAAATCTACCCAGAAAGGGTGAGTGGGAGCAAGTGACACCTGCGGTGAAAGACACAAGAGCAACAAAGACTGAAGACTGCTTTCATAGTCGTCATCTTTGCAGCATAAATACACAAACATTTAATTTAAGCTGATTTCCTTTACTTCATATGATTTCACATCAGGAAAAAGGCAGTGGTGAACTGGCTGATCCTGACAAGCTACTTACTGTGCCTGAGCCTTCTGTGAGAGAAACATTAGAGAGAGAGCAATGGAACATTTCTAATATGGAAGGAAGAATTGCTCTAATTTTCCAATACAAACTGCCTATTTCTGTACAAGCTCTGAAAAATGAAATGTCCATATTCTCTCAGACATTAAACCAAAATAAGCTTTATACTCTTTATTCCAGGCACTTGAGATACTTGTTGAATGAAATGGCCAGAGAGAAAATTTACAACAATTTTCTCATGCGTAGTAAGAGGAAGCTGAGGGTTAAGTGGGGAGGAAAACAGAAACTGACCCTTCCACATCCACTGAAATGTCCCTGTAGCATTAAGGCAGCAGCTGCATCTTGCAGACAGACATCTAACGCAGATAATAACCTTTGGAGAAGCCCTCAGGCTCAGACAAAAGAACTTGTTCTCATGCACAGATAAGTTACGATGTAAATATCTCCTAGAATGATAACTATGGCTGGTGTTATTGGCTCCAAAAGGAAAATTATTTTCAGGAGAATTGTGGGGAAAACCAGACTTTTTCAAAGTCTACATTTCCATGGAAAAATATAAAGAAAAACATGAGTTCTGTTTAAGTCAAAATGTTGTATTCTTACACAGCAATTTAATTCAAATGTGTAGCTCCTCCCTCTATTAAGGATTCCTCAATAGAGCTGGTTGTATTTCATTAATAATACATTTTCAATTTCCTTGTATATAAAATGTCTTTAATAGCACCTGCATCCATGATTTACTGTGAGGATTACATGATATGATGCCGTTTTGAGATGGCACTTATAGTGGGGATCTGTGTAGCTAGGGTTTCATAGAATACATAGTTCACTCGGGCTAAAAAGGGATATAAAATCTGGGCTTCTTTCTGAAATAAATGTGTGGCTTTGTCAGCTAGTATGCTTTAGAAGAAAAGCCAGAAATTACAGCTATGTTAAAAAAAAGTACAGGGAAATTGACACTGCCCCAAAACTCTTGGCCTTCTGTCCCTTGTATGCTACTCTCCCTTTGTGCTCTAGAATATATTCTTGCTTACCCACTCCTGTAATTTATACTCTGCTCTTCTGCATCATGAATTTCTCCCTTACTACTGGATTATTCCCATCAGTATGCAAACATGTGCCAGTATCTCCCCTCTTCAAAACAACAAAAAAAAAAAACAAACAAAACAAACAAACAAAAACTAACAAAAAAGAACTAGAGGCCATGAGTACAGATGCAGATCTCTTTGATCTCATGAGATCCCCATCTATCTCTGATCTCATGAGATCCGCATCTATACTTATGGTCTCTAGTTCCTCACCTATTCTCTCCTCAGCCCACTGGAAATGGGGCTGCTTTCCTAGCACACCACTGAAAGCCCTGTTGCTCTAGGTCATGAATGCTTGCTGGGCTTCCAAATCAAAGAATCATTTATCCGTGCTACTTTTAATTGAACTCAGTAGCATTCAGCCAAACTCACCACTCCCATCACTCCCCTAACAGAAATACTTTTTTCTCTTGGTGTTTTGATTCTAAACTCTCCTGTTCTCTTTCTACCTCACTAGCTCCTCATCCTCTGAATAGCTATTTATAGTCCTTAGGTCTTGATCTTGGACTCTTATCTCTACTCTATCCAGACAGTCTCCCAAGTTGATTACAGCTACTTCCAGAGCATTAAAAACATTGACTTGTTTTTTCACTTCCATACACAATCTTGTCGTCCAGGCTTATATACCCAAGCACATATTGGACATGTTCATCTGGATGTCTAATAGGTATCTCACATTTAACATGCCCCCACTAGACACTGTGGAGGCCGCCTCAGCATCCAGGAGCTCAAATATCAGCTCTTCAGAGAGGTATTTCCCATACTGCTTCCACCAACTATACCACTCTCTCCTTACTTCTTTAGTCATTAATTTGACTAAACTAGCAAATTTCCCCAACTAGCATATAAGCTTTCAGAGGGCAGGGCTGTTATTGGTCTTCTTCATTGCTACATTCTAACATCTAGAACAATGACTATCATGTAGTAAATACTTTACAGATATTTGTTCAATGTGCAAATATACTTGACAAACAATTATGGAAAACTTTAAATCTTGCCTTGTTTTCTCTGATAAAATTATTTTTTCAACCACAAACTTCAGCTGCCCATCAATCAGAAGTATATATAGCCATAAAAGTTACTGCCTGTTAAGTATAAGCATTTAATAAACATAGAGGGGGTGTTAAGAAGAGGTTAGATTTCTATTTTTGGAAGGTCACTGTGTGAGACCTCTGAGTGGCCACCTTACTGTGGCACCCAACATGCTCTTCTAGCAGGGTCATGGGGACACTAAGCTGTAGCCATGTCTTGCCCCTGTACCACCTCTTGCTGAATATAGAGGATGGGTCTGTCATGGGGGCTTATCCCTGAGGAATTCTTCCAGTTCCTTTATCTAAAATGGTGTCATAGCACCCTATACACACATAACTGGGTTTATCTCATAGTATCTCTCCAAAGAAATATGTATGATTCACCAGACACTTTATCATATCAACAGCAGGGTTTTTTATTTACGTCATTAGAAAACATGGTACCTCTGTTGGACAATTTGCTGGTACACTCAATGAGCCAAAAAACTGCCCAAATAGAAGAGGTTAAGCAGAGTTCAACCAAACACATCTAGGATGCAAATGATTTAGAGAAGTCTCAGAAGGCACTTGCTCAGAAGTGCCATTATCTTTTTGATATCCAGAGGAATAACACTACTATGGCCTTGGAGGTTGCTTACTGGGAAAAGCTATATAAAGTATATAAGGAAGTAAAGAATTGCTTGGCAGAACTTAATGCCTCAAAAGGAATAAGACCCATGAAAATCTGAGTGGAGAAGCACATTGTGTAGAGCATCTTTGTCCAGAGGGAAAAGAAGACAATTGCCATGTGCATTGTATATCTAAAGTTGTCCTCAAAGAAGACTCAAGTATAGCCAGTCTATAAATGCATCTATCTCAATTCAGATAGCTCCAGTCAATTAATGGAATGGAAACTAGTCTATGTGACAAACTCTTTGTATCTATTGCTATGAAGTGCAGCTTCTAAAAAGAAAATGTTTGGGCTTGGTATAGTGAGAGAAATAAAATGATCTCTTAGTCAGTAATGTACTTTTCACCATTCTTGTTCTGCATAAGTGGTTTTCTTCCAACAAGGAAAAAGCTGGTCAGGCAACGAATTCATGATTTTTTTTGTGAACTGATCAGAGATCTGAAGCTACCCCCAAATCTGGAGAGACAGGCATCTTCAAGGAAGCACAAGACCTAAGCATTTGTTTATCCGAGGCAGAAGCCACTGGATACCACATGAGTGAGTAAGACGATTAAACTAGAAATGTTGGTGAACTGATGGAGGCAGAGAGTGAGTGGGCCAGCATGAGAAGGTTGAAGCTCCTGGGGATCACAGTCATGGGGGTTCTTCTCATCCCTTTGCAGGCTTTTCTTCTAAGAACCCCACCAGGCTCTCACAGAGAAGATCATGGAGAATCCACAGAAAGTTCCCACCATGGTTCTGGCTGGGGAGAGGCACAGCAGCAACTGCAAAATCTTCCCAGAGCATTCTTCCTTAGGAAACAAAAGTTTTATCTGTCCTAGCAACCACCCCAGTGCACTGGCAGAATAGCACTCCTTCTGAGGGAAGGGCACGCAGGGGATTCTGCCCAGACAAGTCCTCCCTACCTCACTTAGGGGTTGGGGAAGCCTTATTCTCCAGAGGGAAGGTCTTTAAGGTCACAGACTGAGACTGTGGTGGATACCCACTGCAGATAAAGGGAAAAGGGGGCAGAAAAAAGCTCTACCACTGGAGTAGGAACAGAAGTTATCTGAGTGCCTAAAGCTGTGCATTCCAAACACTGATACTTAATCAGAACACAGAATTCTCCCCATCATCCACACCCTATCACCACAGTTATACAAGCTTCCAATAATAATAGTGGATTACAGCTGGGAGAGCTGTAAACAACAGATTCTCTCTGGGGAGCAGCATAAAAGGAAGACCCAAAAGCAAAAGAGGAAGCAAAAACAAAGTCACTAGAAGACAATAAAGTCTCTGGTG